TTAAATTTACCCATTTAGTGTGTAGAATATCATCAAAAAATAGCATCAAATATTTTTTTGTCTTTAGTCCGGGATAGTTTTCCAGTAGGAGTTACGTTTGATTCTTTTCTCAATACATTTTTCACTTCAAAGGGCTTAGAAGAAGACGTTTTCCAATAGAAGTTTAATTAAATAATTCCAAAAGAAAATTCAAATCGGTGGAAGATGAGACTATATCCTTTTTTTTAATAGAATCTATATCAATTCTCCACATGATCTAGTACTCAACTCTACCTGGACCGCTTGCTTTAGGAATTGAATATACCTATACAATAGCTCCCAGCTTATACCTCGTAAGTTCCTCTGATATATACATAATATTATACCCGAAGCCCCTGACTAGGTTACCATGAAATTATCTTTTTATGTCAAAAAGAAAGGAATGAGAATACTAACCAATTAAATCTAGAAAATTTATGTGTTGGTTGTTAGGAAGATCTTAGACGTAAATCTAAACAGTAAGCAATTAAAACCTATATGTGCAAATATTATACAGTTATTAATGTGATTATAAGTAATTGTTATATGTTGCGAAATGGCAATAACTGCTTTCTATTATTTTAATTCAAAGGTAAATTGATTTTTCTGTCAATTTCTTAATGTCGTCTGTCGAAACGTTCTTTCTCTCGTTTGTTAAATCTTCAATAGATATTTTTATTTTTGATTACTTTTTTTTCAATTTTCTTGTTTTTGAGTTTCAATCAACAAATTAATGCTACCTAAAATGTTCTTATATCCGAAAATATAGTAGGTATCTGGGCCTAGATACAAGTGTGCTTTTATTAATAAGAGTATATTTATATTTATCATTATACAGGGTTGTTCACCACATACGACACGGAGTATTGCAGCTAGATTATTAGATTTTTACAAATTGTAAGTTTTGGGTTCGTAGAAGGACTATTAGAGCTACAATTTAAAAGTATTTTTACAAGATACAGAGTGTCCCAAATAAATAAAAAATATAAAAGTTGTATTTTTTTAAACAGGACACCCTGTATATTATTACATTTTTAGTTTCTACAATTAAAACAAAGGTAAATTTGATTAAGGTTTATCACACTTAAACCTTACCGTTTTTGTAATATTTTCAATTTTGTGAAATTGCAGTAAAAATTTTAAGGCTTCATTTCTCCAAGAGTATCAAAGTTTTTAATAGTAAATATTTACTGAAGTATATTTATTGATCAGTTATTGTGTTGCAATAATAAAAATAATACACCTCATACAGAGTGTCTAAAAATTTATTTTAAAAAATTACTAGATTTAAACGGCAATAACTTGTTTAATTTAAATGGAACACCCTGTGTATTTTAGGAGAATCAGATGCACAATTTAATTGTCCATCAAATTATATTCTACCATTTTTTACCTATATCTTCAAGTTTTCCTAGAAAATGCATATTTTCTTATCATTTAGACCTCATTTATGACCATGTCATTTAGACCATGGAATATTTACATTTTAGATTAATTTTAGAGATATAACACATTTTTAAAGGGGACAGATACTAATATTGTCGATAAAGTTGGTTTATTTCATTAAAAAATAAAAAAAAACTGTTTAAATATTTTAGTTAAACAGCCCGTTTAAATTATTCAAACAGATACGAGTATAATCAAATTTGCTATTATTGTATTAGTTATGGCGTGGTTATAACGGTAATACGCATGCTTCGGATAAATGATACGAGAAAATTTTGCAAACCGTTCTGACAGTTTTCAAACCGTTTTCAATTTAAGACGGAACAGAAAATATATGATTTACTAACCGACAGTAAATCCGGTTGGAACGCTTTTCAACTTCTGCGCAAACTCCTTACTGTAAGAAACCGTTTCTTACGCGGGTTGGAACGAACCTATTTATTAACTATGTTAACAAATGATTCAATTAAGTATGTAATTAATTTATATTTGGGCGGAACTGGTGGTATATTTAATTAACGGTATACTCTTTTATAAAGATTTAAATAGTTTTCTTTCTATATACAAATGGGCTAGTAATATTATCGTTTTTAGCACCTGTACATTTTACATATTTTTTGCTTTAAGAACAATCTAAAATGTCAATATTCCATGGGTATATTGATAAATGAGGTGTAAATTATAAGAAAATACATTTTTTACGAAAACTTGAAGGGATAGGTAAGAAATGGTATAATACAATTTGATAGACAATTAAATTGTGCATCTGATTCTTCTAAAATATGCAGGGTATTCCAGTTAAATTAAACGAGTTATTGCCGTTTAAAACTAGTAATTATTTAAAGTAAATTTTTAGACACTCTGTATGAGGTAGTATTATTTTTGTTATTGCAACACAATAACTGATCAATAAATAAACTTCAGTAAATATCTAGTATTAAAAACTTTGGTACCCTTGGAGAAATGGAGCCTTAAAAGTTTTACTGCAATTTCACAGAATTGAAAATATTTCAAAAACGGTAAGGTTTAAGTGTGATAAGCCTTAATCAAATTTACCTTTATTTTAATCGTAGAAACTAAAAATGTAATAATATACAGGGTGTTCCATTTAAAAAAATATAACTTTGATATTTTTAATTTATTTGGGACGCTCTGTATCATGTAAACATATTTTTAAATTGTAACTTTAATAGTCCTTCAATGAACCCAAAACTTACAATTTGTAAAAATCTAATCGCTTAGCTACAATACTCCGTGTCGTATGTGGAGAACAACCCTGTAGAATGTTAAACAAGTTTTCTATCACTTTACTTTAAACCAAAAATGTATGATATCTTATAGAATAGAAATGGTATCGTTTCAAAAAAATATTTTTCAACGACTATGGACTTACTGAATGTAGTAGTAGATTATAGAAAATGGGAATTTGTTAGTTCAGCATCCTCATCAAAACTATTATAACATCCTAGTAAAAAGAATTCTACCTGGGATGGACGTTAGATCTTAGATCCTTTCAAAAATTTAAAAATCACCCAAAAGGTCTATAACGTCTATAAGGTTTTTTTGTCTATAAAGATAAACCTCGTTGCTTTTAAAGGCGTTTGATTTCTTAAGAGTCCATTTCACTAGTCCAAAAAAGTAGCTAAATAAGCGTTGGGCATTTAACGTTTTATGTAAAACCGGCTAGGTATTTTTACACAAATGAAGAAGGAAATTAAAGATAAAGGATTATACTAAATCCGCATTGTAGCACATTTTTAGACAAGTTCTTTGTTTTTAAGATTTTGATGGTCAAACATCAACAAAATGTTCCTTATGCTTGTACTAAATTTTCTCGAAAATAAAGACATAATTTAAAATTGCGGTACAATACGGAAATAGATTGAAGTTTTCTGATTACAGTGATATATAATTTATAGAGGTCTGTAAAAAATTGCTCGCTATTTTATGTCAAATGCTGAAGCTCTGCAAACCTTAATTAAGCCCTAATTACAGTTGTTTGGAATATTGGGTGGTACTAGTTAAAATTTAGTGGTTAAAAAATATTATAGCGTCTACTAACAGTTTTTAACAACAAATATCTCTAGAATTAAATATAGTAATAATTTAATTATTGGATAGACAATATACAATATATCTTTAAAAAATAATAAGAATAAGTATTCATTTACTATGATCATAACAGTTAATTATTGTATTTTGATCCATTTATAATAAATACTTAGTGTATTTTCTCTGTAATATTCTGGAAAATGGATTATCCACAAAAAAATTTACACTGAAATTTTGAAAATCAGAATTCATATGAATAGTAGTGTTTATCTCGTTAGTATGTAAAACTGTAGGTATATAAAAAATAATTTGGAGAAAAAAGTTGAATTTTCTTACGTGATATTTACTAAATTTCCATTTTTACATCAATATACAATTATTGTTCTTATCGCAACTGTTAAATTGTAATTACCATTTAGAACTAAATACGATGTTATTCATAAACCTACTTTATACTGCCACAATATGAGTAAATAAAAGCTTGGAAAATCAAAAACCTTGAGTGCATGTAGCATTAATCATTTGTGTATATTTTTTTGGGGGGAATTTTTTAAGTAATAATAACAACAAATGTCCGTCAATATTTCATAGCCATAAACGTAAGTAATTTTAACAATAAAACCATGTGGGCAAAGATTGTGTCTGAATGGGGACAAATATTTATAATCACAGAATATCAGATGCAAAATAAAACGCTAAAGCAAAAGAAAATACTAATTTACCACCATCCACCGATGAACTTTACTTTTCACACTGTAATACCCAACCGTATATTTTAGAATATAAAATATTAAGTATAATAACAGAATATATTTGATATCTATTATAAACACAGCAAAAATTATTATTATTGTACTGTATTTTGATACTTATTGCTGCAAAACATCAGAATACCAGGAATACTAAACACTAAAAGTAAAAATATCAATTTGATATCTCTTATAATATAGACTACGCACCAAACTTCAGCTATGTTTAAATACTAACTATAATGACGTGTTTTTAGTTCAAATAATTTTCAAACTAAACTAGAAAGCAGTAATAAATCTTTTATAATAACTAACTATACTTACAACACACTAAAACTCATCTGTATTTTTAATTTTGAACCAAAAACTCTGCTTCCTTCTCAAAAAACTGTATTTTTTATTATTTAAGATAGAATATATTTTTTAAACCAGTAAATATGAAGTAGGAAGCAGGAGCAAATCTTTCTAATAATATAGTATCATGTATAATACCAGATATTATATTTATATTAATTTGACATCAGTTATGATGCAGACTACACACCAAAAGTTAGGTTTGTATAAATATTATTGCAAACACAACATTGCTTTTTTCAAAAACAAAAGTTGTCTAGTTTCTAGTTCAAACATTTTTGAAACCAAAATAGAAAACCGGAAAGTTCTTTTAAATAACAAAATACCAGGAAAATATTGATAGCTCTTAACTAACTATGCCTAATGCACACTAAAACTCACCTGTATTTTTAATTCCAAACCCAAACCACTAATTTTCCAAAGAAAATGACTCTTAAAAACCGAGTATTTTCGAAACCGGTCGAATACAAACAGCAGGAACAACTGAAATTGACCTGAGGCACGCTTATACCGGTGCGGCTGGGACTAGATGTAACCGTACCCGTCGTGGTCAACTACAATACGCGGTTTGTCTCCTTCTGCTGTTCGATGGTCGTCGGCGTTCCACCAGCGTGGAGTTTTTGCAGGTGACAGCAGGTGTGGGTATCCGACTCGTCTTCAGTGGAAGTGAGAAGAGGGTTCGGTGGCGCTAAGTAAAAGTAAGAGCAGTAGCGGAACGGTTTGTCGGATTTAAAGCTTCTCTAATATTATTATCCTGAAGTCATAAACGTCAACTTCTAGAAGGTGGGGAGGAGACAAAATAACTTAAAAATTATGTCAGAGAGATTGTAGATTGTAAGGGAGAGAGGGGAGGGTTTCCTTTCTTGAGTTATAACTTATCATACACTCTCAGGGCTTTGACAAAATCTGAGACGATTTTATAGAGGTTAATTTTCCATCTCCGATATCAGTCGTACTAAAGTTTATAGCACAAATGTTTATCGTCTCGGCGCACTCATTACTCAGTTATGAGATGTTTTGGTATTTCTCTACTTTCCCTACAGAATCTGCATTCGCCGTTATTTATTAGCTTCAATCTGCTGAGGTGTTCATTGAGGAAACAGTATCCTCTTAAAAACCTCGTCTCAATCCAAAGATTGTTCTTGCTTAAATCAAGGAAAATCTTTGATTTCTCTAGGTCATAAGTTCTAAGTTATGTTATAGTATTCCTATTAAAACTATGAATTTGATGCTCCGCCTTGATGGGAAGATAGAAAACAGAAACAAGTCTCAGCCAGTAAAAAAATCATTGTCAAAATTTAAAATGTATACTTTTTCGAATCTGCTTGTTTAATTGCTGCAAAATTAAATTTTAGTACAAAATCCCTCCAAAACGTCTTAGTGCAATGAAAAAAAACAGAGCGCAAGCAGAAGATGAACTTTCATATAAGAAAAATGTGTTTTTCCATTCTGTAATTTAAAAAACATATATAAACATAATAATAAAAAGTTTTATTTGTTGTTTCTTGGATGTTGTGACTAGGATCAATTAAAACAAAAATATTTTGTTTTTATTTATACACGACGTTTCGCATTTAATATCTACCATATGATCGAATAAAAACGGCGTCAGCGATGGCTAGGAAATGAAGATCACTGTCATTTTATATGTAAAATTATATTGGAAATGTCATCGATCGTCATTTCCAAGCCAACTGGACGCCATTTTTTTTTTCGATCATACGGTATAATGCTTCTTCAGGAATGTTTTTTGTCTTTCCTATATCTTGGAAGAGAATTCTCGGCAAAGAAACGAAAAGAAGCATTACTACTTGCAAGATATCGGAAAGAGGAAGAAAACATTCCTGAAAAAACATTATATTATACGCGAAACGTTGTGTATCAATAAAAACAAACGATTTTTGTTTAGAACAACCAAGAAAGAATAAATAAAATTTATTATATAAAGTCTAAAAAATAATTACATTCCATAATAATAAAAGCAGTAACCGTATTTATGGCGCCCAACGTGGGGCAAAATTAGCGGTTGAAAGTTATGTGCTAGTGGTGAAGGTTCGGACGTTTCTTATAATTGCAACCACCTATTATAATTTTGAAATAATGAGATTTTGATTGATGAGATATCTAAATTAAGTCGGACTGTGGCAGAATTTACTTTAGCCAATCACTTCCTTGTCTCGGAGTAGTCCAAACAAATGTCAGTCCAAGGTCCAAGCAATTGATTTAAAAACAAAAGTACACAAAATAATATGCCTAAAGATAACCCCTCTCAATCAAAAAGCCATTCTATAGAAGGATGATGAAAATATTTGTTGATACACTTTTAAAAGGGTTTTAGGTAATCGTAGACCAATAGTTGAAAAGCCGAATACAAATTTTCTTGGGTTTGGTCATAAAATACCAGTAAATTTTCTCAATACTATGAACCACATTCTACCAAAGAAATTCAGTTTCTAGCGATTGTGAAAAAGTTAATCATACAACATCATTACTGAAGGGTGATACCTACTAAAAAATGGTTTGAACCATATACATGTATATCTTAATATATTTTGGAAAATTTCTTTCTGGCGAATCAGAAATGAAAAATAAAATTGATGAGGAGACAATAAATTGATGAGGAAAAATAAATTTTACTTACAATACAGGGTGAGCCTTAAATAAGTGCAAATGTTTTTAGGGGTGGTATATTTCGACCCCAGGAACACGTCTATGAGGTTTTTTCGCAAAAAAAGTGATTTTGAAAATCGTGCATTTTCTTCTAAATTTTTCTGTATATTTTAGAAAACTTTTTAGAACTACCTTTTTAGAACTATTTGTTTTTTAGAACTACCTACTGTTAATAAATTTTTCCAGCGTATAATTTCTTAATCATGGTTACGGCTTTACTCTATGGTTACGGCACTAAAAGGAATGCAAATACAGAAAAAATCCGGTGGCTCTCAAACTATTTCAAAAATAAATAATTTTTTTTAATGTTCAAACTTGAATAATTCGGTTAATTTCGACTTATTTCGAAAAACGGCAAAGAGAAAAACGGCAAAGAGAAAATATGTTTCTTTTATCGAGATCTACCAGCCCTGAAAATATTTGCACTTATTTACGACTCACCCTGTATATATGCTCAAAATTCTTAATAAAGAAAATAGTCAGACTATATATCTTATTAACCTTTTAAAAATATCCGATTCGTTATTATAAACTTTCGCTGTAAAACTCTCCTCTGGTAATTGATAATCAACTCATACAGTGCCTTCTCGTTCATTGTCTCGCCACAATAATAATAAAACACACCTTCATGACGATACATTCACTCATTTATATATGTTTGAAACCAATAGCCAATAATGAATCTGGCGTAATTCACAAAACAAAATTGAAAAATCAGATTTTAGTTAACAATAATGTAGTAGTAAGTTGTAGGTATCTAAATATAGTTCAAATAATAATGCAAATAAATTATATTTTTCACAGTGCAACATCCAACTAAATTATTCAGATTAATTTGAACTAAACTATAAAATTGCATTCTCTTTTTCTTTAGTAACTTTTAATAGGAAATTTATTCAATAAACCGCATTCAAAATTAAATTAATCAGCCCAACCATCTAATCATTTACTTTAGAATCTAAAATAAACCGTAATTTTTTCCTCTTCCCAGTAAATCGATTTAAAACTTGTAAATAGATCGATTTTGAAATGCCTTTGAATTAATTGCAATACTATTAGCTATCCTACTTACATAACAACAAAAACAAAGTCTGTTAAGAAACTATCCATTATGGCTGTTGACATTCAGTGTTGCAAAAAAATAATTATTTTCATAAGTTTTTTTTGGATTTTTTGTTAGTTTGGTCTGTTCAAAGTAGATCAATCTTTGAAAGCTTAATAATAATATATTTGACGTTTTGATGGCATTTGCAATAACATCTTTAAATAACAGTTTAGTGTGAATTGTAGAATGCAATTAGAGTTGGAAATTGAAACCTTTGGTAGATAATGTCTGATCATTTGCTGGACACAAAAAGAATATTTGTATGATTTTTATTGCTATTATAATTCAAAATTATTATTTCCTATTACTATAACTCCTCGATTGTAAATTTGGTAATAGCCCAGACATTATAGACACACGCCAATAAAAAAAATCGAATATGATTTATGAATTCAGCTCTTACGTGGGCCTTTCTTTTTGTTTTCCTGGACGCACCTTCCCAATTTCTTTACAATCCATTGATTAAACGAGCTTGTTTTAATGGGGTCGTATCGGAAAACTATTAGGAGATAACTGCCGGCTTGCCCACCCCTTACCGCCCCTTACTTTACTAATACCATGTTTAGGCATTTCGTGTTGCTCTTTTTATTATCTTAACAAAACCTCGATTCTTCGTAGAAGGGTGGCATATGTACACGAGCCTTTTTGTTATAGAATCATCCTTATGTCTTAGATTAGTTTTTTTTACTTTAGGCTTTTTTTATTTCTGTTATATACAGGGTGGCGCACCTCATTCGCCTCGGTTGATTATACTAAAATGGAAAGATATAGAAACAATTTTTTTTATGGGTATATGTAGAGAGATGTTCAAGGTGTGTCAGAACTAAGATCCATATCAAAGTTATATTTTTTCTTATGGGACATCCGGTATTTTATTTCATTTTTGGATTCTTGGGCATAAAATAAAACATTTATTAAAAGGGTTTAATATGTTTAAATGCTTTGGTTTTTGAGATATTTAAAGATATTTAAATATGCATGATATAATAAAAAAGTTTGTCAACGCCCTGTACATTACTTTTCAGAGTTAATTCTTGTGCTGACATTGAAGCCAGAGAAATAAACTTTACTAAAAAATGTTATTGCTTCCTTAAATGCATACAGGGGTATCAAAAATTTCTGGTCTGTTTTAAATATCTAATTTACATAAAAACTTCGTTATTTCAAATACAACACTACTTATATATTTCTTAAAATAAGTCGAAGCAGATTTAAATGCATTTTCAAACTATATTAGGGTTTCCTATACCTATCTGGCTCAGATTTTGAATAAAAAGCGATTTTTCAATAAAATGGCAATCAAGATTGCTAAATAAATCAGAAAGACCCCGTATCTCAGTTGCAGTGAAAATATCAACAGGCGGTTTAGGCCATTAAACGTGTCTCAGATATCGAGCCCATGACATCTATGTCGGTTTTGCTCTTATCTAGTCAGGAAATAGGTTTTCTCTGTTAAAACAGACCAATTTCGACCACTCTGTACAGTACAATTTGCTAAACACTCCAAACCAAGATACTCTGCCATCTTTACTGCTCCTAGTGCCAAATGTACTGCTCTTTGAATGAAAAGATAAAATCACCAGAAAATCTAGAGGACAGACTTTTTCACAAAAGATCAAAGCAGTTTAAGGTGATAGAAATTAGCTACTAAATTGATCTAACGTTTATATCTAACGATTTTACACTTTCAACTTCTTTGTAAGATGTCAAATTGTATGTCATAGATTATATATTAAAAAAGTCTAACAAATTTTCCAGTTTACATTCAAAGATTCAAATATTTGCATGCTTCTAAACAAACTATAACGGAAAAATTTTGATTGCAAAAAATATAAAGACAAAAGTGTATGATTCAGTTCGAAGTAAACAATTTACCGAACATCAAACCTATACAAATAAATTTTATTTTATTGAAGATCCATAAATTAGTTTAGCTATAAAGAAAATCTTTATATTTAATAAATTTTTATAAATTCTATTGTTTGTATTGTTGATATAAATGTATTACTCTCCATAAATCAGATTCTAAAAGTGTCAAGTTTGGTTAGATTCGTAAAACTCTTTTTTGAAAAAAAATATTTATATATAACACAGTTTCATTAAATGTTATTTATGATAGCAATACGATTTATTTATTAATAAACATTAAATCTCACTCGATTCATTACATTTTTAATTTTGATTCATCTTCTGCATTGACAATATAATAATGGTATTCACTGGTATCCACTAGAATAATCATATAGTCTTTTAACAGTGCCTGATAATTAGATTTTATTTGTATACTCGTAATAGTAGGTCAACGACTTATATGAAAGCTATCCTAGTACAATAACTATTGTCTAATTTAATAATAACACTTAAATTTAGAAAAGAATAGGAACATTAAGGTAAATCGATTATAAAACAGTACCTATGCAAATGAAATAAATATAGGAAAAATAAAACTTAATAATTTAAAAAGTTTTCAACGTGTAGTAAAACTATGTGTGCCTCTTTTACTGCGAGAAATCTAAAACGAAATTATAGATAAAAACCTTGACGATATGGTGAAGGAACTTTTTATTAATATTTAATTTTAATATTATATTGACTTCATTTTTCACATGGACTACTGTCATACTGTGCTATTAAAACATTTTATTGAGAAAATTATTTGAAACTTTGAAGTAATAAAAAATTAAAAATAGAACATGTCTTTATTCAGCTTTTGTCAAATAACCCGGTACATATATCATATAAAAATCCTACATCCTAAATACAATTTTTTATAAATAATACATCACACGTGAACACAATAATAACACCAAATTTTATCTGATCTTTCCAACAATCTTCTCCCAGTTTTTGATCTGTAGCAGAGCATCTTTAGCTGCTACACCCATCAATCCTTCAGTTGAATGTTCCGGTTCATATGACAGGATCACCTTGGCTTCAACTAAGTATCGAAGTAGTTTCTTTAGGGCAGACTTGACATCAGATTTTGATAAAGGTTGTGTTTCTATTTGTCGTGTGAGAAGGATCATTAATGGAGCATGTAATTCGTAGAGAGTTACTCCTGAAAATAATAGAGTATTTTTTTACATATGTCATTAAAAGAGATTGATTGACAAGTTGACTAAATTAATTGATGATTATTTTATTTTTTCCATAGCAACTGTTAAAATTGCCTTATATCTATCAAAAGTAGTAGATAAAATAGTATTTTAACCGCAAGGGTAGATTAAATGACACTTTAACAGCGAGGATAGGTTGGGATAGGTTAAAAACTTTATTTCTTCTCGCACGTTTTTTAATTGCTTCCATTTTTTAAATGTTTGGTTTGGTTTGGTTTTTTTTTTGTTTTTATTCCTTTTCATAAGTTATTCTGGATTTAAATGGAAATAGTTTGGATATGGCGTTTGTCGCCTCAGCCTGAATATTTGTTGGTAATTTACTTATTTCGTTTTGAGCCATTTCTGGCTCCAATTCAATCAGCAATCGACACGAAAGAGAATTAAAAAATATTGACGTGATATTGACTCAAAACTGACAACTAAAGAGACAGCTTTATTTATTTGTCAAATTACATAGAAACCAACGCCAACCCAGCACAATATTTTTTCTACTCGTAATAAATTCCTTGAAATAATAATTTCTGAATATTTTTTAAAACGTAACTCGCTATGGAAAAAAAATATTGTTTTATACACGACGATAAAATCTTTTTGGTCGACATTTTTATACAAGACGATAAAATGGTATTTTATCTATAAAAGACGATAAAATGGTATTTTATCGTCTTGTATAAAAATTAACTATTTCATTTCAGGGGGTGATAAAGTATCTTATATTGTAGTATCACAATGCAAAGTAATATTATTTGCAGATCATGCTGAATCTCGTACTACTAGATAGCTAACTATCTATATCTATACCAGAATCTCCTGGTTGACAAACCGTAGAACTTGGTAGTAGTGTTCAAAGAGATTAAAGTTATTTTTATAAATGAACCCCCAAGGGTTCAATAACAAAAAACTACCATTTAAATTACAGATATTTAACTGTATCGAAAAATACTCGCCTCTTATTCTAGTAAATCCTGGCTCAATTACATCAAAAACTTTCAATATCTCATAGCAAATATCTCTTTTCCTCATTAGTTGTTTTTCACTCAATTCATGTACTAAATATCCAGGTATTCTACCATACACCTGACTCAGAGTGACCTTAACTCCTAAACACAGGTAATGGCTTGAATGAAGAACATTTCTGTACTTTTGTAGAAAGTGTTCTAAAGCGTCTATGTCGTTACTGTCTATTGATTCCGCTTCATTAGATATCCTAAAAAGTTCAGCTATTATTTCCAATGTCAGTTTAAAAGAAATGTTCGAATATACCTATTTATTAGCAATTTATGAGAGTGTGCACTTAAAGAATATCCTGGACATACATTTCTGACATTTGTGCAGCTCCAAGGAGATTCAAGGTCCAAAGGATTATCACAGAGAACTAAACCTACAAAATATCAATAAAAACTTTAATATTTAATAAAAAATCATATTTTAAACATACCGTTATCACATTTTGGGCAATGAAGAGCTCCTACGTAAGTCCCTAGCTCGGTAGGATCAGAACATCTCTTACATCTGCATTCGAAAAACTTATTTTCTAATAACTGTTCTCTCCTTTTTTGGGTACTCTAAAAGAAAAGCATAATTTACAAACTCTTAGTATTATTGGTATTATTACAGTATATTTTAATAATTACTTGAAGAGTGTATGCATAACTTAGAGTTATAGGCTGACCCTCCAGAATATCAGTACTGGCTCTGATAGTTAACTGGTATGTGTCTTCGTGATCTGTGTGATTTGTATTTGGTACGCAATCATGTGATAGTAAAAATGAGGTAGGATATAGTCCTCTTATGTTAACTCCTTGCTGCCCAATTTCGAAAGCATTTACCTGAAAATAAAATCTTATATTCCTGTAACTATTTCTAAAAAGTAGCTTATAAGTTGACTACCAGTACCACAACAATAAAATAAATCAGAAACTATAAATGAGAATATATGTGTATCAGAGGAGAACAACAAGACTAGAAGAAGGGAACAAAATTAAGTGCTGCACAAAATACAAATAATTGGGTATGGAAATCACAAATGATGGAGTGTTGGATACAGCAATTAAAGAACGAAACCAACCTGGAAGGAATCACGGTATTAAATGGGATATTGTGGGACAGAAGCATAAACAACAGGAACAAAACATTAATATATAATACCATCATCAAGAGTATAACCACTGTGAAGTGTGGCCAATTAAGTAAACCACAAAACGAATGCTGGAAGTTACAGAGATGGAGTTTTGGAGGAAAGCAGCAGGCAAATCAAGACTCGAGATCAAAAACCAATGAACGAATGAACGCATAAGAGAGATTATGGAAGTTAAACATACAATAGTGGACGAGATAAAGAACAGACAACTCCTATGGTAGAGCATGTCCAAAGAATTGCAGAAATAAGAATCCCAAAGCAAATCATAAACTGGAAACCTGCAGGAAGAAGAAAACCGGGTAAACCGAGAAGAAGTTGGTAGATAGAGATTGACACTTTTATGGAGGAAAGAGCTCTCGGAGACGGTGTATGGAGAGATGGCATCGGAAGACGTAGAACGTTTTAAACCGATTAATATGTATAAGTTATAAATACATAATTCATTATTACCTCCAATATGCCACAAATTGTGTGTATCTCTTCTTCGGTAAATTCAGTCAGTCCCCAGTCTTTTATAATTCTATCAACCACTCTCGTTTGATTAAGATCCCACAGATCAGGAATGTTTCTTCTTATATCGTTGTGACTTTCCATGTCCATCAATATATCGTAACTACTAGGGTCAGTAGTTTTCAGAATCAGACATCGGAGAGGCACTAAAATCAATCACTTGTAATAGTGACACTTGTATAAATATAATTTTATTTACCAATAACTTGGAAATTTGCGCGAACATCTTGCAAGTCGTCGTAATTTAAAAAAGCAGCTGACTTGCATTCCTGCAAAATGGTGCATTCTATTTGAGTGTGACCATGTTGACGTTTACGGCCAGGACATTTTTTTGAACATAGAGGCCATCCACAACCAGAACACCTAGAAATAATATATAGATTTTTTTTCCAAAATACCAAAGGCAATTGAATGAATCGAAAATGTTAAATTAAAATAAGTTGCTGATTTGATCAAGTTGTTAATATAAATGATACTTATTATCTTTAATATTTATTGATAGTAGAAGCGTATAAAACAAATTTTCAAAAATGTTTTAAGAAAATTCTGATTCTTCTACTTACTTGAAAATTTTATCTTCGCTTTCCAAATTCTTGTAACAGCCCAAACATTGCACTCTGCAGTCGGTACATGGTCCTACTACCAGTGGTTGTTCTGATATAATTATTTCTCCTGGACGTATATCTTTTCTAGCCACAATATACCTTTAAAAGAAAGAATATCTATATCAGTAAAACTTAATTGCTGTAAAGCGAACTACTATAATATTAAATTTTTATTTCTAATATTGATAAAAAAAAATCTAAAACATCAATTGTCTTTTCCGTCTCAAGACTCTACGAAGTCTCAAGTAAATTAACAGCATCCTATACTATATTTTATTTATATAAGAACATAAAGTATACAGGGTGTCCCAGGCTGAGCGTGCATTAGAAGTTTCTAGAGAACTACAATATCGAGTTGCCCCATTTTTTATTATATAGTTAAATTCTCTGTAAAATTTTATGTAACCTAACCTAACACTTTATATCTAAAATTAACCGTTTTTGAGAAAAAAATATTTAAAATTTTTGGAGGAAAAAAACTGCCTGTCAAAAAAATCTGTATAGCCTAAAAGACAAATTTAGTGATTACCACAGCTACTATGGCAAACTTTGAATAAGAAGACTAAGGAAGGAGCATATCAAAAATCTTAGGTCCACCGCGATGGGCCTCAAATATGGCCGACTTAAATTCCGGTTTATCAGTGCCGTTCTAATTTTATTTAAAAAATGTAAAACTATGATGTAGGGTAGACGTGGCGTAGACTCAATAATTTTTTTTTTATTTTACGTTGTGAATAAATGTTGGTAGTTATAAAAAGTGTTATAAAAATATAAAATTATAATAAAAATAGATAAATTATAATAATTATTTATAACCATAAACATCCGATACGCTACTGAAGCAATTAAGTCAAATTGACGTATCTAAATTCTTTGACATCTAATCTTTGATAAGTAACAAATAAAAGCAAAAATGCAAGAAAAAATATATAATTAGTTAATTTCAGTAAATTTCATAAATGATCGTTTTACTACACGTATGTATATTATATAGTCACTTACTAGCGAAACGTTGTTCCATTATTTCACTCGATTTTTACCGAGATCTACCGCACGCTACACAACCAACTATCTTAGAGTCTTTTTCGATAAATCGCGATAATGTCACTGTTAATTTAAGTTCTGCCACAATTTCCATCTAGATTTACTACATTTATACAACTATCAGTAGTAGAATAAATCATAAATAACATAAAATAAGCTCCGTAAAGACTGACAAATCCACACAATTTCAAATCAAATTCAAATGTGTCAAATGAATCGTCAAACAGAACTGTCAAGGATCCCCACCCTAGAGAGCTTTTTCCGCCCACCATGCATGAATACATGGATAGCATTATGCTCCTTCCTAGTCTTCTTATTCAAAGTTTTAAAGAGTATTTTTTTCTTGATTTTATCTAGCTTCCTTTGACATTATGTGTCAAATCATCAGACAAAAAATTAAAAAAAGTTATAGGGGTGAGGTACTTTTGAGAAAAACCCGGTATCGTTTTAGAAGAAATAATGGTAAGAATAAAAATTTTCTAGACTTATATTAAACAAAAACAAATAATTAAATCTCGTACTTTAGTGATAGCTAATGGCAATATGACATGGCAGATATAGTTTTACATCGCGTGACGTTTAAAGTCATAAGCTACTGATCAAAAAAACACCCTGTGCAGACCAAACTACAGTAAATGAAAAAAAAACAGACCTGAACAGTAAGTACAGACCAACTACAGTAAATACCTAATATAGTTTTGATTTAAGAACATTTCTTATATTTTTGTAATTTAAAAAAAAGGCTGAAAATATATATTTTTTATATAAACAGAAGATGTTATCGTGGGGACTGTAATAATAAAGAAGAAATAATTTATTGGGCAAGCCTACAGCAAGATTAGCCATGAGACATGACTAAAACATGACTACCCGTAGACACTCAGTGTTTCTGCCTTCCGGCTTCGTCAATACGGGAGGAATCAGCAACGATGAACTAGCGATCCTGAAAAAAGAAAAAGGGGAAGCAAACGAGGCACCAGGCACATGTCATGTCTCATGGCTAATCTTGCTTGCCCAATCAATTATTTCTTCTTCTTTATTACAGTCCCCACGATAACATCTTCTATTTATTGCTTCCTCTGGGCGAAGGTGATAGCGGCGAGGTGTGTTGGAATGCCTCCGCAGCGGTTTTTTGGGTGGTAACGCTTGCGAATTGTGAGCTACTGCCTAACCAGGCCGCAAATGGTGCCTTGTGCCTCATCGTTTGCTTCCCCTTTTTCTTTTTTCAGGATCGCTAGTTCATCGTTGCTGATTCCTCCCGTATTGATGAAGCCGGAAGACAGAAACACTGAGTGTCTACGGGTAGTCATGTTTTAGTCATGTCTCATGGCTAATCTTGCTGTAGGCTTGCCCAATAAATTATTTCCTCTTTTTTATTTTTTATATATTTATTAATATCTTTGAAACTATGAAAACATATTTAATAATGTTTTAGGATTATGTAAAGTGATCAAAAAGAAAACCAAAAATGCAATAATATACGGGGTAGGTAAAAAAATCATCCCGATCCACTCACACTTTTTTGAGCGGCCCTGTAGATATTAAAATATTGTCCTGAAATACATCCAAATACATACTTTAGGTTTCACTTAAACAAAATTCATAACTTTTTATTTTAGGAGCTACAGATGCCCCACGCATTATTGCAAACCCTGTAAAACGTTGGTCAAAAATTATATTAATTCATAAGAGTAAATACAAAGTGTTTGGTTAAAACTTACTGAGAAAAATATATATACGTCTTGTTTTGCGTAGCATACTGAGGTACTGTAAAATACTCGAGTTAAAAAATTCAACAATTTGCAATTTGACAATTTTAAGGAAGCTTTAAATATGGAGAATATGTCACGTGTGTAAAAAATTAATTTTGATATAACTGAAATAGAGCCTATTTACAAGCAATAGATCATACTGTATCCTGTAGAATCAGGGCTCTGTAGGTCATGTGGGTCGAAGCTTAAAATATATGCGAACATGAATCATATTTCGCATGAATTTGCTACAAAAATCATGCCTCTGTAAATAATGACTTTCCTGATTAAAAAATTAAATTTATGCTATTGTATATCCATAATAATGTCACACGTGATAACTGTTTTTATTCTGAAATTAAATATTCTCCAGTTTCTGGCAACAATCACGCCATTAATTATATCCAGTCCCCATTTTACAATGTAAATTTCAAATGCCGTATATTTATATACTTTGTGGGCGTGTGAAAGAAAGATGCTATTTTTATACCCCTTGTATATTTTTATACACTATTTTCAATATGATCTTCCGGTGGGTAGGCCCTATCTTATTAATAAGTTTAGCAAACAATAATTTGCGTCACCCCCAGAAAGACTATAGGTTGCACAATTTCGGTGTATATTATTTTTAGTATTCTGGTAATATCGAAAAAGTGTTTTGTGAATCGTTTTTCAGAATTTTTATTGTTGCTATTAATCTCTTTCGGTTTAGATTCTGAACACTGAGTAGAAAAATAAATAAATCTTGTAGTTGGACATCTAACACGTTATTTTCTGATTTATTAGGGGAAAGTGATTGATCACACTTGGAGTTATACAACGTTTTGGATACAACTCACTGTAAACTATTATAAGGTGATAATATAGCATCATAACATAGTGAGCATAAATTTATGACTATAATGTTATAAAATTATTACAGAAATGCCCTCAAGACAATTGATTGTATAGATAATTTATATAGCCAGAATGCAGTCAAGACAACGAACATTCTCTATAATAGCCATAGATTATAATAGCCCAGTATAAAAAGGATAATAGTAAATCAAATTACAGAAATGCCATCAAGACAATTGATTCTATAGATAATTTATATAGCCAGAATGCAGTCAAGGCAACGAACATTCTCTATAATAGCCCAGTATAAAAAGGATAATAGTAAATCAAATTACAGAAATGCCATCAAGACAATTGATTGTATAGATAATTTATATAGCCAGAATGCAGTCAAGACAACGAACATTCTCTATAATAGCCCAGTATAAAAAGGATAATAGTAAATCAAATTACAGAAATGCCATCAAGACAATTGATTCTATAGATAATTTATATAGCCAGAATGCAGTCAAGGCAACGAACATTCTCTATAATAGCCCAGTATAAAAAGGATAATAGTAAATCAAATTACAGAAATGCCATCAAGACAATTGATTCTATAGATAATTTATATAGCCAGAATGCAGTCAAGGCAACGAACATTCTCTATAATAGCCCAGTATAAAAAGGATAATAGTAAATCAAATTACAGAAATGCCATCAAGACAATTGATTGTATAGATAATTTATATAGCCAGAATGCAGTCAAGACAACGAACATTCTCTATAATAGCCCAGTATAACAAGGATAATAGTAAATCAAATTATTACAGAACTGCCATCAAGACAATGACATTCTGTATAGATAATTTATATATATATATAACCAGAATGCAGTTAAGACAACGAACATTCTCTATAATAGCCCAATATAACAAGGATAATAGTAAATCAAATTATTACAGAAATGCCATCAAGACAATGACATTCTGTAAAGATAATTTATATAGCCAGAATGCAGTCAAGACAACGAACATTCTCTATAATAGCCTAGTATAATAAGGATAATACTAAATCAAATTATTACAGAAATGCCATCAAGACAATGACATTCTGTACAGATAATTTATATAGCCAGAATGCAGTCAAGACAACGAACATTCTCTATAATAGCCCAGTATAATAAGGATAATAGTAAATTAAATTATTACAGAAATGCCATCAAGACAATGACATTCTGTATAGATAATTTATATAGCCAAAATGCTGCCAAGACAGTAATATTCTCTATAATAGAAAATCAAAATATCAGAGGAAAGTCATCAGGACAATGACTATCCTCTATAGAAATTTTATATGGCCAGAATGCAGCCAAAACAACGAACATTCTTATTGGATATACCTACATATTTAGAATGATTATTATTCAAAACAAAATATAAACATAATAACCATAAGCCTGCGTGTATCTGAAATAAAACAAAGGGC